CTATGATTCTATGATTCTATGATTTGCAGAGCTCTGTAGATGTGAGGGGAATGCCTTTTTATTACCCCAAACAACAAAGCTGCAAGGAAGGGGCAAGCAGTCAGGCAGAAATGTGCTTGAAAGCTTATGGTGTTTTCCAGTTGTATCAATGCAGATGTTGCCCTTACAATAATGCTAAGGTGATTATTTTAGGCTTAGCAAGATGTCCTTCAGCTGACCTCTTCCCTTTCTCCTAAGCTTTGTTTTCCATGGCTGACACCCATCCCTGTTCCATTTTAAGTTCAGAATTAAATTTAGGTGACGGGTTTGTCCCTTTCAGTGTCTTTGTTGAGAAGCCTTGAGGTGATTCTGCCCACTTCCCTAGATGAGCCAGGATGAAGTATGCTTCTGGTAGACCAAAAGACACTCCTCCCCCTTGTCCTGACCTGAGCCTGTTTTTGTTGTTGTTTTGTTTCAGAAGCTTGACATTAAAACCAGAGTCTTACTCATTTTCCCAGTCAGTGATGTCTGTGAGAGTGCTCCCTGCCTCATGCTGCACTACAGCAGCCTGTTACAGAGTTCCCCTCAGTTTCTTGGTACCTGAAATGTGTTTTGAAGCAGAAAAAAATCCCCCCCCCCCCGAGATAGAGAGAGGCATGTACATACATACACATACACACCTCTGCCTTGTGTAATTTTTTCCCCAGTAAGAGCTGTCTTGCCTTGCAGGATCACTTGGTTTGCTTTTTGCCTGGTACTTTAGCACTGGGAGCTCACAACGGGCTGACTGCTGATCATATGAAGTTGGCTGAAGCTCTTATGGAAACCTGTTACCAGATGTATGCTCAGGTGGAGACAGGCCTGAGCCCGGAGATCGTGCACTTCAATCTTCATGCACAAAAGGGCCAAAAAGATGTGGAGATCAAGGTGAGCAGATGGTCTGCATGAACTGTAATTTGGTGATTGCCTGTGTCTCTGTTCTGCTGTTGAAGCTCCCAGCTGGACACTGCTGATGTACTCTGTTGTGGAGCAGCTTGTTCTTTTGCTGCCTGGCTTTGTAGGTGTACCCTGGTTTTTAATTACCTTTCCCTGTAGTGTAGTTAGAAGCTGAGTTGTGCATAATAAACTCTTTGGAGTAGATGGAGATGGTAATGACTGCTTTTCTTCCTGTATGTGTCCTTGAGGAAATTCCCTGTCTGAATTATTCTTGCCTTTCTTTTTTTCTCTCTGCAGCCTGCAGACAGGCACAACTTACTGCGACCAGAAACTGTGGAAAGCCTTTTTTATATGTACAGATTCACTGGTGATAAGAAATACCAAGACTGGGGCTGGGAAATCTTGCAGAACTTCAATAAATACACACGGGTAAGGCCAGCTTATAATGACCTTGTTCTGTCAGGGCTGTATTTGCTCACTTGCTCTCTAACAAGAACTTTGGAAACTTGCTGTCTGTCAAGAGTCATT